CGGGCATTTGTTCTTCTTCCCCATTCCTTCTCCCCAAATTTCGAACAAACCCTCCCCAAACCTCCATTTCATCCACCAAAACTCCCAAATCTCCCCCATTCCCACACCAAATCCATCAAAAAACATCAATTTCTTCATCTCCTCACCTCCCTCTTCCACCCTACACCAATTAATCCCTCCAAAATCCCCCAAATCAACCAAACTCAAAAACCCTACCCCAAATTTCGAACCTCTCCATTTTCGGACATTCAAGGTCCAATTTCAAGCAAAATTCCCCAACAAACACCAAAAACCTCTTCTCCTCATCATCCTCTACAAAACCATACCACTCACCCTCACCAAACCTTACCTCTCCAAAAAAAAAATCAAAAACCCTTCCAAAAAAAAAGGGGAGGAAAACAATTCCATGGCACCAAAAAAGGCAAGAGCTTCTTCTTCAAGAGCTCCAAGAGCTATTCCACCAGTAGAGGGCTTCGAATCAGTGGAGTTTGAGACCGAATCACAACACATCCGCTTCCTTGAACAATCCGAACGAGAGGTAAAACCCTCCCGCTTTGTATGCCAATTGACTTTAACAATGTTCTGGATTCATGACATTATGAGAGAGATATTCCAAAGGTGTGGCATGCTTAAAATATTTGATATGCACTATTGGCCATATTCTCGTTTGGTATATGAATTCTACAGTTCCGTTGAGCATGTGAAGGATGCAAATGATCACACAAATAACACGATCAACTTTCGTTTGCTCAACGAGAACCGCTCACTCACCAAACGAGAATTCGCTGAACACTTCGGTCTACCTTTGCTTGATGACACGGTAGCGTATAGCTCACCGGTGGCCTATGAACTATGGGGAAGAATGACCGGAATTGTCAAAATTCGTACCTCCCACCTCAATGTCAACCATGTCCAACACCCGGTCTTCCGAATTTTCTTAAAATTCTTGGCTAATTGCTTTTTCGGAAGACCAAACAACCATCAAACTAGGGTGTGGGATGTATGCCTCTTAGCACAAGCTGTTCTTCCGGGTGCCGGGCCATATGATGTGACCACAGTTCTTTGGGATCACATCATCAATGTTAAAAGTGGTGGAGGAAAAATTCTGATAGGGGGTCTAATTACCCACATTGCCACGTTATATGGTTTTGTATGCAATGGTGCACAAAACCACATGACCCTTCTTGGCCTTCAATTTTTAAAGAATGCTGGCGATGTGACCCTCTCACATATCGAACATGATGGCCTAGAAATCTACAATTGGCACATCAAACCAGGCCAAGAACTATTCTACCCCTTCCCTTCCGAAAACCTCCCGCTTAACATCATCGATCACCAAATCGGTGATGGACACCACTATTGTATGCCCGGGGGAATTCCACCACACTTTGCACCCCCAGAAAATGAGGCGGGGGAAAATGAAGCCGCCAATGAACAGCCTGCCCTTGAAGCACCACCCATCATTCCTGAACAACCTCGCCCACAACCCCATGCTCATCAATACTCTCCATTTGAGCAAGAAATGCTAAACAACATGAATGCTCTCAACCTCAATTACACCCAACTTCGGGAGGAAGTCGGGTTGTACAGAAATGAGCAAAGGCACAGCTTCGAGAGGATTGAAGAACAAAGGCGAGAAGATTGGCGCCGATATGAAGAAGATCAAAGGAGGACTTTTGGGCCAATCTACTCCTATATCGCGCATCAGGGAAACTTCACCTCCATGACCACTCCTCCTCCGGCACCTTCATGGTACAACCCCACTGAATGGGGTTATTTTGGTGGCTCAACCTCTAGTGGTGGAGGCGGGGAAGACGGATACAGCGGGGATCATATGGACGAGGATACACAGTACAGAGGCTATGGAGGAGTTTTCGATGGCGGAGATGCGGGCGGGCACTAGGGACTGTGCCACGGACTAGTGGTGGGGGAGATCTTCCCGGTATGTTCACATTCACACTCTTTATTCTTGTTATTTAAAAATAATAATAATAATAATAATAAAAAAACGAAAGCTTGTTAAGTTGAAAACCCCCAAAGGGCAGCTTAAGCAAAAATAAAGCAAAAATAGGAGTGAGTTTGTGAGATAAAAAAGAATAAAAAAAAAGAATAAAAAAAAAAAGAATGTGGGAAGCTGGGTTGAAAACCTGAAAGGGCACCTAGGCAAAATGAGAGAATGAGAGAAAGTTATTTCTTTAGATTTTGCAGGATCCTGAGGGCGAGTACTATAGAGACTTCGGATTGAAATTGAAGACCCATATTTACTCTTTTGGTTTTGGAGACGCTTTATGTATTTGTTACAAAAACTTGTGGATGTTGGTGTTGCTACTCTTGTCAATTAAGGACCCCTTGGACAGAATATGTTTTACTCGAGACTAGTAAAAATTCAAGTGTGGGGGTGTTTGATATGCACTAGTTTATAGTGCATAAACGTATGTTTTTATGTTGATTGAGTGTGGATTTTCCATCACTTTTAGTTAGTTTGTAAGTACTTGTTTTATTTTGTTTGTAATTGTTCTCTCCTTTTTCGGAGTTTTAGAATAGTGATAGAGTTTGTAGCAAGGAAAAAGGGAGAAAAACTGAAGACAAAAAGACCCCGGAGCACAAAAACCCGACCGGGTCAGACCTTGAACCCGGTCGGGTCAGTTGAGGAACAGATCTAAGAAGGAAAAGTAAGACCCGGTCGGGTCCCATACCCGACCCGGTCGGGTCAGACATGACCCGGAACACCGGAACATGCTGAAGATCACAAAGATTTGGAAAAAATCTGATTTAGACCAAACCCGGTCGGGTCCCTCACTTGACCCGGTCGGGTCTGACTTGACCCGGACAAATTAACGTGCTGGAACAATGAAACGTGGGAGATTATCTGATTTTGACCGGTACCCGGTCGGGTATGTACCTATACCCGGTCGGGTACCCGGCCAAAGGTGTTGAAAAACACCTATAAATAGCACACTTTTTCTTCACAAAAAATCATCCCTTCTTCCAATCTCTTTAGCTCAGTTTAGAATAGCATTTCTTTATATTTTTCTAGCTATGTTTAGCCTCCAAATGAGGAGCTAAACTTCCATTCTTGGTTTTGCTCTTGAAGCTTGTTGATTATTAAAGTTGTGAGTTATTTTCTTAACTTCTTCTCTTGATTATTAATTCTTCCCTTAATCTCATTCTATATTAATGTTGGAGGGTTGCTAAGTGACGATTAGTTAACGTTCCGACATTAATTACTACTAGAAACGATCAACGAACCGATGGTTAATCGTTGGTGGTTTCACAAGTAAGTAACTTCGGTTTATTAATGCACGGTCGTGGTTAATAGACTTAAGAGGGATCAATTTTGTTGGTTAAATCGAAACCGTTGTGTTAAGGTTATCAATCTCAATTGGTTTCATCAAGGGGTTAAAAAAGATTGAATGCTACTATTATATCGGTATAAGGCGTTGTTTTATATTTGATTAATAGTAAGGGTTATTAATGAACGGTCGTTGTTAATAACTACCCTCGATGAATTGGAGATACTCCTCGATTGAGTATTCGATAGGGGATAAGTTATAGATATAACAAGGATCGACTACAATATATCAACAAGGGGAAAGTAGCAAAGCCAAGTCCCTTTTATTCTTGAATTAAACACATATAGGTTGTTCATCTTAGTTTCTTAATTAAATTAAATCACTCAAAACCAAAACCCCCCTTTTTATTACTAGTTTCATAGAAAGAGAATTATACCTTTCCCTGTGGATACGAACTCTACTGCACTATACTACGTATAAGTGTTCAGTATTGAATTTATTTTGACGCACCGTGACAAAGTGCTCGTCAAATTTGGCGCCGTTGACGGGGAAAGACAATTAATTTTTCTTTTTATTTTATTTCAAAGAAAAATCCAAAAAAAAATAATATATAAAGTTTTCTATTTTTGCTGAGCTTTGTTTGAGTATATGGTAAAAACCCGATCCATAAACCAACTCACCTACCAAACAAACTCCGAAATAGAAAAAGCTCTCGAGCGGTTAAAGAATAAATTCTCAAATACCGACTCGGGGGAATTCTCAAGTGCTAGTTCTCAATCTAGCGAGTCCGAGGAGTCAATATCAATGGCTCTTGAAACAAGAACGCTGAGGGAGCTCACAGCCCCCAATCTAAATCAACAACCCTTATGTATCACCTTCCCAACTCTTGATGCGGGTGCTACATTTGAGTTGAAATCCGGACTCATACATCTACTTCCATCTTTCCACGGGCTAAGAGGAGAGGATCCAAATAAACATCTTTCGGAATTCCACATCGTTTGCACAAGCATGTGCCCAAACGGTGTTACCGAGGAGCAAATTAAGTTGAGGACTTTCCCATTCTCCCTCAAAGACACCGCCAAAGATTGACTATTCTATCTTCCCTCGGGAAGCATAGACACTTGGGCGGCCATGAAGAAGAGCTTCCTCGAAAGGTATTATCCCGCCTCCATCTCCTCATCTTTAAAGAAACAAATCAGCAATGTGGAGCAAAAAGATGATGAATCGTTCTACGAATTCTGGGAACGATTCAAGAAACTCTGTGCGAGCTGTCCGTATCACGGCTACTCGGAGCAAGACATCATCCTTTACTTTTATGATGGTCTTTGCGATGATGATAGACGGATGATGAATGCTGCATGTGGAGGAGGAATAGTCAACAAAACTCCTTCTCAAGCTAGGAATCTTATCTCGGAGTTGGCCGAAAATTGTAGACACTATGATCGGCGGTCAACAAAGAGAGTTATGGCAGCGGAATCCAACAACTCGTTGGAGAGTCAAGTAGCCGGCTTGACTTCTTTGGTCAAGCTCCTGATTGGCTTATAAAAATGTTTGGCAATCAAGAAGAACCTCCCATTGCATGAGTTCTAAAGAAGTATTGGAATGATGTTCTAGTAATACTGCATTAAATATTAATAGAAATTATGTAGAATATTGAATACGTATTTAATTCGGATATTTCTATTAATTACTTATATATGTACGTACCTGGAGTATCATGGCGGCGCGTGTTTGAAGTACTGGAACCCCCATGTAGTAATTGGATAGTGAGACGGGTTTTCGTGGAGTGATACGCTATGAAGGTGACGATGAACACGGAAAAACATAGTAATATTAGTGCCATTGCGACCTTCGAATCGGCAATGCTTCTCCTTGTTGTCATGATGATCCCAGGCGTATTGTTCATCTTCATGGCTTGGTTTATCAATTATTGTGAAGGTAAAAGTAGGTAGGTATATATATCGATGGTGAGTACAATCTGCACCATAGCTTTGGGTGCCTGAATTGTTTAAGTATTTAAGTGTCTAATTCAATGTTTTTTTGTAGTGTATGAAGGGAAAGTAATTAAAACCAGAAACGCTTTAGTTACTTTACTTGATGAGATACTTTGTAAGCTAGGTACATGTATAATAATACTAGTACGAGGTAATACTATATGATACTAGTAGTTGTTTCTATCAGATGATTGATATTAACGTATTTTGTTAGCTTTTTGTGATTAGTTTCCATGATTAGAGAATTGAAGTCAAATGTTTGGTGACTTAACTTAGTTGTTCACCGTTAGCTGTTAAGTTGCAAATGACTATTAAGGATACGAAATATATATATATAACATAATTTTTAGGGGGTTTACTTTTATTTTTTTTAATGAGTACATTATCATTATCATTATCATTATCATTATCATTATCATTATCATTATCATTATCATTATCATTATCATTATTGTTGGTCCAAAATAGGACGTTCGTAGGCTTTTAGGAAAGCTACGTACGACACTCAAGCAAGAATTAGGAAAGTACGAATATGGAAAGTTAGCCAGAAATAGCATCTCTGTATTTGAAATTCGAATTGCCTTTTATAGGCGATTACAAATGGTAACTGCCGAACATAATAATGACTAAATTAATTACAACATTAATACGGAATTAAACACATAATTAAGTAGCGCATTGATTGTTGGCCGTTACTCTTCCTGGCTGGCAGGTCAGCCTGGCTGGCAGGCTGGACGCTTGAGCTCCCTCCTGCTGGACTGGACGGTGGGCTTCCCGCTAGGCTGGAGGAAGGCTTCTGACCGGGCTGGAGGCAGGCTCCCGGGTAGGCTGGAAGGCAGGCTCCCGGGTAGGCTGGAAGGCAGGCTCCCCGTTGGGATGGAGGCAGGCTCCCACCTGGGCTGGACCGCAGGCTCCCAGCTGGGCTGGACCGCAGGCTCCCAGCTGGGCTGGTGGTCGGCAGGCTCCTGGCTAGGCTGGAAGGCAGGCTCCCCACTTGGCTGGAAGGCAGGCTCCCGGGTAGGCTGGACCGCAGGCTCCCAGTTGGGCTGGACCGCAGGCTCCCGGGTAGGCTGGAAGGAATGCTCCCGGGTAGGCTGGACCGCAGGCTCCCAGTTGGGCTGGACCGCAGGCTCCCAGCTGGGCTGGTGGTCGAAAGGCTCTTGGCTAGGCTGGAAGGCAGGCTCCCGGGTAGGCTGGACCGTAGGCTCCCCGCTGGGCTGGTCGACAGGCTCTCTTGGGCTTCCGCTCCTTGATTGCCCTGGTTGGTTGGGCTGACTCGAGCTCTGGGTTGCTGGGCTTGGGCCCGCTGGTCCAAGTTCGGGGCCTGGGCCGATTAGGCTCTGGGCCTAGTCCCATAACCCCATCACGAGTCCCCCACTCCCTTAGTCGAGTAGTAGACTCGGCTAAGAGGGAGTAGTTTAAGTCAGCTGCCGATTTAAAAATATTCACATATCAGGGAGCCATAATTGTGGATTATGGGAATCCCAGAGTTTATGGAAATTCCCAAATTAAATCAGGCTCCCAGAAAAGGCTCCAAATAAATTCCTTCCTTTTCTTTTCTTTCCTTTTCTTTTCTTTCCTTTTTTTTCTTTTCCTTTCTTTTCTTTTCTTCCTTTCTTTTCTTTTCTTTCCTTTTCTTTTTCTTTCCTTTCTTTTCTTTTTCCTCTCTCTCCTGGACCCCTGCGTGCGTGCGTCTTCTCCTAGCCGTCCCAGCGCCGCAACGTAGTAAACCCAACGTGGACCGCCGTATGTGGCCTTGACCTCCCTGCCTCGCCCGGCTCTCCACCAGCCGGCGGTTTTTCCGCAACGGCCGACGGCGACAGGCTCGAGCCGGCCGGCTTCCGGCATCGGTCCACGAACCGTCCAGGCCAGGCGGCCAGCCGGCCACCGCTATGCACTTCGGATTTGAAAGCGACGGGCCAGGCTGGAGCCACAATTCCCTGGGGTTCCGCGTTGTCCGGCGGTCGTCTGGGTGCTCCTTCCTCCGGGCGGCAAGGTGCTGCCACCATCTTCTCTTCTTCTTGCTTTGCACTGACGGAGACCAGGCACGCACAGGGGTCCAGCGCCGCCGTCCTCCCAGCTTGGTGTTGGCCGTTTGTGGCGCGGCGCATCAGGCAGGCGGCCGGGCTTCAGTGGCTGCAGGGCCCTTCCGGGTGAATGCCCGTCAATGCGGGACCCTTGCAAACTTAGAACCTTGAACTTCTATCAGGCTGGCGACTCCCCACTCCACTGTACATCCGTGGCTGCCCGGGTGTCGTCCTGAACTCCGGCAGATCTGGTATGTGGGTCTGGAATTCAACTGTCCGGCGCAACCTGCATGGATTGGTGGCCAAGCATAGGGTCATCGTCTGCATCACAGGTCGGGTGATTGTGCCTTGCTGGTTGTGGTCCGATGCCATCGTCTTGTGTGGGTTGGATGCGCCGGGAACATTGATCGATAATGGTGAAAACCCTACCTCCCATGCACTCCATATGGGAGCTTCGTGAAGAGGGGAATCGACAAGAGAGAGGCTGACCTCACCCTTACCGATTCACTTTCGTTTTTTTTAATATTCTGATGATAACTTTCTGTTGTCTGTAGGGTCTCAACGCTCGGGATGACCTGCTGAAGATTTTGTTCACGGCGGCAAGCACCAAGGCAATTGCGGGTTCTCATGCCCTCACGGAGATCCCCGAACGTGTGAAGGATCATGAGGACGAGAGAGCCCCACGGCGGGGAGCCTACCTTCCAGTTCGGACTTCGAAGCATGTGAGGCGGCAAGCGCCCCTATCGCGGAAACGGCGGTCAAGGCTTTCCCTCAGGAGTGCCCAACAATGTAAGTTGATTGCGACATAGTACTTGGGCGTCAGTCGCCAGTTGATGGTGGCGTAGTACCTGAGAGACGGCCAAGAGTGGACTGACCATGGCGATGACTAAGTTGAGTTTCAGATTCTGGGAGAGTTCCTTAAGCTTTCTAGTAATTCCCATGTCTGGATCATTGTACTTGATGGCCATGGGAACATCCGGTCATGACTGTTGCACCTTTTTTTTTGTAGCTTGTAGCCACCATATGTAAAATTCGAATGAATATTACCTTTTAATTCATATGTTTCCTTTTCTATACTTTGCATTACGAATACTTAGCAATTTATTCGGGGATCTGGCTTCTCTGACCTCCTGGGGGGCGGTTAGGCTGGCGTGGCCGAGCCTATCCGTGCCCCTCCTAGTTGGATAGAAGTTATATGTTCGCTATTGATATGGAATCAACAAATAAGCGACTTGTTTGGCCAGCGAGGTCGGACATTGAACCGACGAGGAAGACCCTTAGGTCGGTATCCTGAACGTTCATGACCCGGGGGTCAGTCCTACTGTCACTTTAACCCATCCAGTTTGCCCGGACTTGGGGAATAATCTGGTTACTCCCGCATGGATAGCCAAACAACAGGGGCGGACCCTGCATGATCCACCAGAACAAACCCGCACCACCAACTCAGGGATGACGAGAGTGCGAGCTGCTTGGCCAACGATGTTAGGCGGTGAGCACTCGAAAAGACCCGGAGGTCAGCATCCTGAGTACCCTCGACCCGGAGGTCGGCCCTACCATCGCCTCGACTGTTGCAGCTAGCTCTTTACTTTAGAAAATTGCCCGAATTCTTGAAAATCGCTTGGCTATTTTCGGTTAAAGACCCCGGCCGAGGTCGGCCAAACACCGAGGGGGGGGGGGGCATAGTACCTTTTTTTTTTGCCACCGCCGCCCTTTATTGCTAAGTGAGGTCGGACCTCTTTTGATGACAAAATATCGCTAGCAAAGTATATTGAATTCATGATGTGGGCGGACCACATGAAGAATTACTAATTGTAATCCCGTGCTTGGAGCACAGGAGTTTACAAAGAAAAGTGAAACTTCGATTTTCTACTGGTAAAACTTCATCAGGTGCTCGGCATTCCAGACGCGGTCTACCAACCGGCCTGTTGTTGTCTTCAACTTGTATGTCCCAGGGCCGATCACTGCGTCAACCACGTAAGGTCCTTCCCACTTGACGGAGAGCTTACCTCCCTCTGTCGGCCTGCTAGCCTTCCTACGTCTTAGGACATAATCACCGACGTCAAAACTCCGGGGTCGAGCTCGGCTGTCTTGGTACGCCTTGACTTGTCGTCGATAGTTTTCCGCTTTGATGAAGGCACGGTCTCTTCTTTCCTCAATGAGGTGGAGCTCGGCTCGGAGCCTCTCCTCATTGCTGGACTCGCCGGCTGGGAACTACGGCCTCGAACGGTGCCCTCGCCTCAAAGCCATAACACAAGGCAAAGGGGGTCTCTCATGTTGCCTTCCTTGGGGTTGTTCTGAAGGTCCAGAGTATATTGTTCAACTCCTCCACCCAGGCAGTCCCGAGGGCCTCCAACTTCTTTTGCAGTCCATCGACGATTGTCCGGTTGGTGTTCTCCACCTGTCCATTTGCCTGGGGGTAGCAGACCGCAACTCGGCTGGATTCTACGCCCCACTCTGCACAGAATTGTCGGAAGGCTTCGCAGTCAAACTGCCTTCCGTTGTCGGAGATTATTTGGAGGGGAACCCCAAACCGGCAGAAAATATTCTTCCATATGAACTTCCTACATTGGAGATGTGTGATGCTGGCAAGCGGCTCGGCCTCAACCCACTTCGTAAAGTAGTCCACTGCGACGATGACAAACTTCCGGTTTCCCGACCCGGTTGGTAAGGGACCGACCAGGTCGACACCCCATCTTGTGAATGGAAGGGCGGTGCTGATCGGTGTGTACATCGTTGCTGGTCGGCCGGGGCTCTTCTGGAACT